ATTTTCAAATCGCCACTCACATTTGAACACAGCACAAGCGTAAACCTATCTTTCATAGGCTTGTGTCCGGGCAAGGATTTTTCCTCCTTGGTAATGTATGTCTTCTAGGCAATCTTTTCCAGAACAGTCCTGTTTCATCACAATTAAAACTTGTTGCGGTAGGTATCCCTCAGCCTCTTTAAATTCTTCAATAAATCGTTCAGCTGCTGGTTTGTCTGAGCTGAATATCATTTGCTCAGTTGATATATGATAATTCTTGTATACATATATAATATGACCGAAAATGTATGATTAATAATTTTAACACAAATTTTCTCAATATTTCTTATGTTTCTTTTCACTGTCGATGGTAATTGAAAAATCAATTCTCCAAAATTAATTTTTATTTCTATTCTGACGCCTGAACGCGTTTCGTAATAACTTATTACATTTTCAAAGACTTTAGTTTACACACACAACTGTAACCTGTAAACACACAAAATACATCCATACTTATACTCTTCTAAATGCCCTTTCTAGATGTAACAGTCACGGAAAGGAGCGGAGGCTTCCACACTGCAGTCTACACTGAGGAAATAAACATAGGAATGTGCCTCAATGCCAATAGTGACTGCCCAGACAGGTACAAAAGGAGTGTTGTCAATGCTTACATCAACCGTGCTCTCAGCCACAGCTCAGGATGGAAGCAAGTCGATGAAGAACTCTGTAGGGTAAGGCAGGTCCTAGTCAACAACGGCTTCTCTAATGGTTTTGTTGAAGACATCATAAAAAGAAAAATGAAATGCCATGCAACCTCTGAAGAGTCAACTAACACAACACATGTACCCCTATTAGATTATTTTACAGGAACTTCTTTTCGACGGCTCATAAAATGGAGGAAAGGGTCCTGAAAGATATTGTTGATAGGAACGTTATCCCTACAGACAGAAATCAGAAAATACAATCGCCAATTTACTTTAAAACCAAAAAAAACGGCCAACCTACTCATGAAAAACTCTTCAGACACCAAGCAGAACACCTTGAAGGAAACCAACGTCGTCTTTTGCCTTCAAATGCCCACTTGTGGACTGTAAGCCCCCAAAGAACTCAGTATATAGGCAAGACAACAACATCTCTTTCCAGGCGATTAACAATGCATAAACAACAGGGCTCCATCAAGGAACATATAATCTCTTCTCACAACCAGACCATCACCAGAGAAATCTTAACAAACAACACAGAAATCATCGATAGATACAGCGACAATAGGAGGCTCAACATCAGCGAGGCACTACACATCAAAAAGTTAACACCAGCAATCAACAGCCAATTAATGCACAACTATATTCTACCCACTTCAAGACCCCAAACCAATATAGAAGCATCAAGAGGAAGTATGGGCCAATAAGCCTTCTGCAGTTACTTACATTCTTATGTTTTTATACCCATTGGTTTGTGTTCTATCATGTGCAAATGTGAATCACCTAACCCAAAAGTTTTGTACCATATCACCTCACCCAAAGCGAGTATAAGTATGGATGTATTTTGTGTGTTTACAGGTTACAGTTGTGTGTGTAAACTAAAGTCTTGGAAAATGTAATAAGTTATTGTGAAATGCGTTCAGGCGTGAGACTAGAAATAAAAAAGAATTTTGGAGAATTGATTTTTCAATTACCATCGACAGTGAAGAGAAACATAAGGAATATTGAGAAAATTCGTGTCAGAATTATTAATCTTACCTTTTTGGTCATATTCAACAACATATGTTTAAAAGAAAGACTGCTACCAAAATATACTAAGATATATAATTGTGTGTATATACTGACTAGAATTTAAGCATCCTCATAATTTTAATTATGGTTTGTTTGCCAGTGGTGCACATCAGGGACTGAGCTTTACTAGCCTTTCCAATTTTAAACATTCTCTGGTACTGCCTAGTGACAAGTTTTTTTGCTTTACACTGAAGCCAATCAGTTACTGGTACACATTCAGTTTTGTGCCCTCAGGTCACATATTAACATCAGACTTGGTTTGTTGTGCCTTTTCTTGTTGCTTGTAGACATGGTTAGGTTATAGCTAGGCCAGGCCCCTCCCTTGACGTATGTGTATGGTGATCAAGAGACCTAGTGATTTGTTTGAGGTTTGTAGAAGTGTACATTAACTCGAAGACATTTTTTCCACCCCTCTGGTGTTATGTTGTAAGTATGTAGCAAGTGACATATCTATGACTGCTGTATTACCACAAGATGATAATTGGACTTCTTTGGTTCTGTTGTCAATTTTTATTGTCTTCTATATTTCCCCACCTAAGTGCAAGACTGGTTTCATCCAAAACTGAGAAGTGTCATGTTTCAGTTGAAACATGACAATTTTTGCTTGAACCTTTATGAACCAAGCATGAAACTTGCTCAGCAATTGCTAGTCTTGGGGACTTTTGCCGAAATTTCAGGTTTGTCTTTCCCGGGTTTAGGCTTTTGCCTCTTCACTACTGGGCTCCAAGGAAACAAAGCTGCAGGTGAAAAAAATTAGATGTTTTTTCTTGCAGAGTGGTAGAGTGTTGGAAGAAGTTAAGTAGGTGGTAGTGGATGCCAAAACCATCAGTAGTTTCAAAGTGTCATGTGACAGAGTACTGGGAAGACTGGACACCACGAGTGTAGCTCTTATCCTGTAACTACACATAGATAATGACACTTATTTTCATTGTGACCACAGGTAATTACCTAAGTTTAATTATTACCCGAGTGTAGTTACAGGATAAGAGCTAAGCTTGGTGTCCCATCTTCCCAGTACAGTACTGTCATATAACATTTTGAAACTACATGGTTTTGGCATCCACCACACTCTCACTTAACTTGTTCCGACAGTCTATCACTGTTTGCAAAAAGAGAACCTTCTAATGTTTTTTGGCAGCTTTGTTTCCTTAGTATGAGAAAATGACCTCTTGTGTGCAAGCAGCGACTGAAACCAAAACTGAGCCAACCACCAAAAAACAAAAAGGACCACCGTCCCTTGGTAGAAGTTTAGTCAAACCAGAACCTGGAGCAACAGCTGGACTAGGGGGTGCAAGAGGTACAGAATCCACCACCATGACCAGCCCGGCCAAAAGACATCCACCATGAGGGTCTCGCAATTGAGGAACGGAGCCACAGAGAGCAAGGAATTGATTCCAAGCCGACACAGTCGCCCCATGCAGGGGTGACTGAACATCTTGCAAAGATATTCAAAGGAGGAAGCATCAATGGTTTACTCAATGGAGATGGGAGAGAGAGAAGTTAGAGAGTCCATTCACAAGGATGTCTGACACTCCTTGAACATGAACAGCACAGAGAACCAAACCCCAAGAATCCAGCAATGAGCTACCCTAAGCATCCAGCTCCAAAGGGCAATAAACCGAAGGGAACTCTCACAGTTCAGGATATTAACCACCAGGGAACAGTCTGAATGGAGCCGGAGCACAGAGCCCGGAGGAATCTGAATCCTTCTCAGAGCATGTCACATGGTTGCACACTTGCCCACCATTCTGTGCATGACAGAACTGATTTGACCAATAGCCCTGGTTGGTTCAACAAGCATTGGTCATGAAACCAGCCGAGCGCCAATGCATCCAAAAACATGTCAAGCAACGGCAGAGGAAGACGCCAAGGAATCAAACCTTGAAGTGGATGCCAGTGATGCAGCAGCTGATGAAGGGCAATCGAGTGCAAACCCAATACTTGCTGCAAAGGTGGAAGGGGGCGGAACATGAGAAATCAGAACACCCCTCAAAGCCACACTCTGCCCAGTGGGAAAACTATGCAGACGAAGTTCAGGTACTCCTTGAGATTTGAGATATATACAAGAGTTACATTCTTGTACCTCATATCAACTCGAGAAAATGCAGTCACCCAGGGATGCCTCACACCAGAAGGTGGCGGCACTGCAGCCAAAACAGATACACCAGAGGAGGGGAAAGTGACGCTGCCCAAGAATCCCACATAAGGATCAACCAAACCCACACCTGTGATGGAACTAACTGGAACTTCCTGAACTTTACCTGGAATGTGAATCCAGTGAGCTGTGAAGTAAAGTGGAGTGTTACCTGCTCTCTGTACCTCTGGGATAGGGTTGCCAAGTTCTGGCTCTGGTCCCCAGCAGGCCAAACAAAACTCAATGGCTGATGTAACCTAGTAGTAGGGAGCCACAAGGGGGGCTCACTAAGAAAAGTGAAAAACAAACTAGTGACAGTAAAAATCCGTACTGTATACCTATATTTGTGGCAACTAATTCTGACTGGAAAACCTCCACAGAGCATCTCATCCATCAGTGCCTGAGAGTTTTAATAACATTACAAGATTTCCTGTCTCCACCACAGCCAGAGCAAGCTACGTAATTTTTTTTCCGTTATCAGGTAATACATTTTAACAACATTATGCAGATAAAATTTGGGGGATTATTTTTCCCCGTGCCCATCACAGAGATGTGAAGTGCAAGAGATGCACAGTGCAGTGATTAATACGTCTCTGGCTGTGATGCGCGCCACCAGTCAAACCTCCCTAGATGAAATAGGCAATTGAAGGGTTAATTCAAATGCCCTTAGTTACCTCCCTTCTCCTATTTGGAGCTTCTTGGGTCTTGTCAGGAAGAATGTGAGCATTGAGGGACCCGGGGTCAGTATTATGGGTGAAATGCTTTGATTTGTTGGTAGGTTAGGGTACTTTACTAGGTTTCAAAGCAAGCAAGGATAAGCAATCCTTGCCCTAAGGATACAGTTAATCTTATCTTAGAGGGCAACTGAATGATTCAAGTTTTTGAAAGGGGCTTCTTATTTTTACTTTAAGTGGTCACTTTACAGCACTATGCTGATTTAGATTTATAAATTGTAAAAACTGTACATCATTTGAAATGAACACAATAATAACTTCTGATTAGCTCAGTTGAATACAACTTACACAGTGCAAGGCAGTAATCACATCTAACATCAAGGAAACCAAACAAGAGACAAACCCTGGCACCAAGACCTTTTACTTGGTTGGTAACTATACCCTGGTAGCTGCTCGGCGAGACACTGCGGGCAATCTCCATCTGTGTATGAGACATCCTGTCAGCATTCCAAGGACCAGGGGTCACACACTGTGGGATGCTCAGTGGATCTTCCATGGTAGCGGGCTTACCCATAACATCAATGGCTGGAAAACAATATGTAACTACAATTAAATTAAATATTTTGGTGATACAGCATCACCAAAAATATACTGTAGTGAGAAGCAGCATTTTTAAGACTGAATTCATCTAAATAAACAAATTCAGAGTTTTTTCACTTGAATGCACCATAAACTAAGATAATTGAAGGTCCCATTTAAAGGGAACATGATAGTTAGTGCATGGTGACACTTTATCAGAGTAGCAAGAAGCTTTACAAATGTTCATATATCAAGTTATGCTCGTGTAGGGATACATTGGAACAAAGTTTAACCCTAAATGGGCAATACATATATAGCTGGGGTGAGTAACTATTGTGGGATGGCTCACCACAGCTATATATAGTTGGGAGTATCACGTAAGATTTAAAAGTTCCATTGCTACACGGGGTTCACATCAGTTTCCTCAGGGCTCTAGTAAACAAACCCCATTTTAGAAAAAAATCATGGGCAACATTTCCGGGTGTGAGAGCCACAGTACTGAGTAACCAAGGCTGGCGCATACAGCATGAGCAACCAAGGTTAGCGAACGTAGTTTGAGCTAACAGCACTGCTGTTCAGCTTGTGACATCATCTCCTAAAAATGTCAAAATATATATGTAACTGGTATTATTTAGCCATGATAGTATTACAGAAGAGCCTGACTGTGATAAAAAGACTGTACAATGTTCAGATATCAGTGAACACATTGTTGTTCAAGATGTTCACAGCACACTGCCATTGTTTCACCCATCTAAAAATCTCAAGTTCTCATGTTCCTTTACAAAATAAACTTGTGGAAAATTATTCATTTACAAGATTTAGTGACCAGGATTCTGATAATAGCAGGACTGTGGTGATAATTAGAACTGTACATAGTATGATGGGAGGAGGAATCTTGGTGAGGGAGGGAGAGGTGGCTTCATCTGCTGACTGTGTGTGGCAACCTGTTATTGTCTGGACTTAGCATACCAAGTTAGTCGTTCGCTATTGTGAACACAAATGTAGATACTGTATTTATATATAACATGTGTGTATATAGTGTAATAGCAGCAAAATGAGTATGTTGTGAGGAGCCATTTTGATGAGGGAGATAGCATTGTCTGCTAGCTGCTGTGTGATTTGTCATGCACTGTATGGTGGCCACTATGCTGTTTGGACACTATACCAGCTTAGTTGTACAGTTATGGTGAATAAAATATGTAGATACTTATATATAACATGTGTATATAGTGTAATAAAACCACAAATAGTATTGTGGGAGGAGGAATGTTGGCAAGTGAGGTGTTGAAAGATGGAGGGAGGTACCGTCTGCTGGCTGGGTGTGGCAGCCCACTCTTGTTGTTTGGGCTCACCATACCAACTTAGTGGTTTGCAATGGTGAACAAAACATGCAGATACTTATATAATGTGAGTATATAGTGTAATAACAGCAAAACTATTTGTTTATTGTTTTATGAACATAATTGAATCACTAATATGCACACCATACTTTTGAGTATAGCGATGGTTCACACATTTTATTTTATAAATATATCACACTACATACTATTCAATAATATTACTGAAAAAAAAAATCAAAGACACTGAAATAATTAGGTAATAATATCTTTGTGGCAACTCCTGCATGACAGCGTGGGTGGAGAAGACCAGCGTGGGACACTTACTCTGTCAGTGCCTCAATTTTGCCAGACTTCCTCACTATATTGCGGCCAAAATATGTCACCTATGCATTTATTATTATTTTTCTCATGATCAGGGAAAACATTTTAGCAATCTTAAGAGGAAAAAATTTGAATTTTTTTCTTGCGCCTGGCAGTGTTGCAGGCTATAATCACAAGTGCTGCCTAGGGGTTAAGGGAGCCAAAACTAAAGAAAATTAATTCACAAATACTTAAGTCTTTCCAAGCCTTTCTTGGCATCACAGAAATCATCAAGAAGCACTCTTGCTAACAATCAGTTTAGCCCACTGGCTGCTACCTCTACTTTACCACCACCAGATGGCAGCTCTCACTCCCTGCCTTTCCCTCTTCTCTCTGTGCCATGCATTGTCACCACCCCCTCCTCCCTCTTGCTGTCTCTAGCTCGCTCGCTCTCTGTCTCTGTCTCTGTCTCTCTCTCTCTCTCTCTCTCTCTAGCTCATTCAATCTATCTAGCTCATTCTCTCACTAGCTCATTCTCTCTCAAGCTCATGCTCTCTCTCTCTCCCTCTCATGCTGTCTCTTATCTCTCTGCCAAGTAGTGCTTGAAAAGGCTTGAGTGTTTATGAGTAAACTTTCTGCAGTCAATCTGGTCTTAATTTAACTTTACCTCAGTACCTCACTAGCACTAGTATGAACCAGCTGGGACACTTAAAAAACCCTCTAGTGCACGTGTGCCGAGTGTCACCATACCATGATTGTCATGATCCTGTCCAATAGGGTATTCAGTGCTCTTGCCTTTGAGAACATTGAAGGGGAATGTCTATGAACTACATTACTGCATATGTATTGAGAAATTAAAAGGTTTATTGACAGGATACTAATAAAACACACAATAAGTTAATCTAGCTTTAAAATGTGACAACATACTTGTAAGTTAGATTGAGACATGTAATTATCTCAGACACCCATACAAGACAGTGGGCACTACTGTCTTGTATGGGTGTCTTTCCCTTTTTTGCTTTGAGCCACCCAGTCTGGCTCACAGCAACAAAGGGAAAGAGAGAAACAGAGTGGGGAGGTACAGGTGATTGGATAGAAAGGGAGTAGGACAAGCATTTTTTCCATCCTTAGTGAGATAAGCAACTTTTCCATCCTTAGTAGGGTAAGTATCTTTTCCATTCTTAACTAATAGAGGAGCTAATTGGGGATCAATGATAAACCCACCAGCAAGTTGAACTGCCAGAACAAAGGAAAATTATCACAAAACACTTAGTAAACCCTCAAATGAAATTTTATTGGAAACTTAATTGCCAAAAATCTCTCTGAATAGTTGTCTAACCTTCACTAATCCAATTACCACCAGGTGGTTGCCTAACTACTCAAAGATCAAGATGAAGAAGCCCTCTCAACACTTGAGCCACAGTACAGCTTAGACATAGGTAGCTGTATCCAGGATGGGAACTGCAAGTTACTGAAGTGTAACTCCAAAAAGGAAACTTCATTACACTCGTTACTTTATTTGAGTTTGTACTCTACAATATTTCTCGGCATACTTATCATGGAGTAGGCAAATATAAAAGCAAAGGACACTTACCAATGTTTGAAACCAAACTCTGTAAATGATTGGACTAGAGACATCAGTCACATAACTACCATGTAAAAGCCACAAAATTTAGCAGATGACATGGAATATCAGAAGGATCTGCTGCTCAGTTCCTACTGGATCCCTGAAGTCCCTAGTACTAATACTGTCATCTGGTGGACACCACACCTGCTAAACTATGAGAAGAGGCCCTATGATGAAAGGCAGACAATTCATTCTTGCCAAATAACAGCAGTTGTTTGAATCTTGACAAAATGAATTCATAGATAAAAACCAAGGATTCTCCTCTTTGAAGCAGAGCATGAAGCTCAATATCATTATGTCCAGATGCCAAGATCAATAGAGAGACTGTTTAAAAGAGTACAATCCACAAACAACATGAAACCTATAAAAATGCAGATAAAACCTTCAACACCTTGTCTAAAGTTTAAAGAGGCTCTAACTGAGAATAAACAGATTAAAAATGAAAGATCACATGCCCAATTTTAATAAGGGGCAGCAACGAAATCTAAAAGAAGAGGTTCTGACAAAGCCAATCTATACATGGTGACTGTAACTGGCAAGAGGTGATGCTTTTGAAACCATGTGTGAAAAGCCATCACAACAGGGGCTTGTCATGGGTTGGAACCTACTGTTTAGAGAGAAACTGCAGAAAAGCTTACCACCACTAAATGCTACCACAAAGATATTCAAAGGTATAACATTGTTTGCCACCTTCCTCCCAAACTGCTGATAAAAGTGTGAAGAATGAGTAATCTTTAATATAAAAAATGTTTGGAAGGTTGGGCTAGGAGCCTAGCTTGACCCTGCAAGCACATCTAGGCGAGTTTATCTAGGCAAGTACAGAATTAAAGAATTATAAACTCTAATTGTGAAGCTCAGCAGAGAGCCAAGAGAACCATCAACATAGGCTTTCCCACCAATCCACTAAAAGAGAGCCTGAGAGAGGACACAACATGAGAAACAATGGAATAAGGTTTGGAATCAGAGCTAATTCAGTTACTAAGAAAGAAAGCATAAAGTCAAGTCCCCTCAACTCCAGTCTAGATGAAGGAAAATGGACAAATGAGAGCTTATAAGGAGAATAAGCCAAGGAGGAAAACTGAGAGAGACAAGCAACTTGATCCTGACACCTGTAGTGGATGCACAATGCAACTCCAGAAAGAGCATAAAGCTGACAGGAACAGATATACTGTACTGTATCTGCAAATGCTTGGAAGAATAGAATTCCAAGTCCCAAGTCATGTCACTGAAGAAGACAACTCTGACCGAGGTCTTTGACAATAGTGCCAGAGAAGGAGATCTTAAAATGAAAACAGAAGTGAACTGAAGCTGCAAGAGTTGCACGCGATAGATAGCAAATATGCTCAAACAAATTCTTCTACAAGACTTCTGCATGCTATTATCAGCCCAACAGATGTCAAACCAACTTTTCTTTAAAAAAAAAAGAGAGAGAGAGAGAGAGAGAGAGAGAGAGAGAGAGAGAGAGAGAGAGAGAGAGAGAGAGAGAGAGAGAGAGAGAGAGAGAGAGAGTGATTAACCTCTACCCTGAGTTGATTGGACCACCACTTAGTGGCAGGTTGTGGTGTTGTAAATAAATACCTACTGTAGTTAAGTTGTTGCAGAATTTTGCTTGCCGATTTGAGTATTGCTAAACATTTTCCAATGGGAGGGTAATGTGTTTTGTGACACCTTTTCATCTTATTGTTTTATGGATGGTATACGTCAATAATGAGTTGACCTATGGTTCCCATGTGCTTCCCCCACTCCTTGAAGAGGGACAAAACCATTTAAAAATGTGCTTGTCCCCAGAAGCAGACTGAAGTCATGGGTTCATGGCATATCCAATATGGCCCTATTATGTCAATGCCATAATCTTAGGGGAACCAAAGCTAATTGCCTATAAATAATCTACATATGTTAATTGAACCAAAGTAAAATTGCCATACATAGTTGCCAAAGAGCTTGTAAACCTACATAGACAGTAGTTAACTTTGGAGTCTACAATTGCAACATTTATGAAGAGGAAATGGAAAACTTGAAATAAAGCTTAACAAGGACACAAGCAGTTTACAGGCTTGCCCCAATCAAAATAACAGATTAATATTATTAGTTGTATTGACTTACTGATTATCTTTTTAATAAGAAAATCATCATCAATAAGAAGAGCATTATTGAAGAAAGCTTGGATCATGGCGAGTAACTGGGGTGGTGTAGTCGTCACAATCACTCCAAATACATCCCGAGCTTTCCAAGCATAAGGCTGGGACAGATGTTCCACCTGCAAACAGAACCCAAGAGTGATATGCAGTAAACTTAGAATTTATACAAAAGCAATTAATAAATAAAGGATATAGTAATACAGAAAATCAATAAATGTGATGCATAAGAGATGGCAGAAGAACACATGGGATATGCATTAGACATGCCACTTAAGTGAGAACTGAACTGACATTTGTAAATCAGAGTTCTCCTATGAATGCAGCTATAGTAGTTATACCCTTCAGTAGACTCCTAGGCTAACACAGTCTTTGGCTCATGAGAATAAAAATAAAGAGCTGACAACAGTGTAGAAAAATCAAGTCTTCTCTCGATGGAGTTTCTTTATAACACAATTTCTCTCATATGTGTGATCCATTTAATTGATATCTCTGTAACCTTCATCTATATTAACATAAATCTTCACATTTCTCAATCATGTCACTTTTCTGTGTTCACAATTCCTATCAACATTATGCTACTTAGCCAATTTAAAATTCCTATTTCTGTAAAGGGTGCTCATATTTCAGTCAGATTCTTTTAAAGAATTAATACTGCCTCTGTTTCTACAATTTCTTAAATCAATTCCTATGAAACATGGATTAGGGCATCTATTAAAACTAAAATAAATCTTATTTTCTAAGACTAACAGTTCTTTAACCCTTTAACTGCGCGGCCTCCAAATATGATACCCCCCAGTGCGCAGGAAATAAAATATCTGGAAATTTTTTTTCTGTTTTTAAAGTGTCAAAAACCCTTCCGAGTAAGGGTATAGTAACAATAGGTCGATATTTTAAGTACTTTAGCTGCTATGGGGTCCGTAAGTTTGTGCGTGACGTCGTCATTCTGTGGTCGCCTGTGGCATATGCCCCGGGGCCGGTAGGGCGCTTGGGGCAGGATGCGCGAGTTGCCGCGAATATATTATAGTTCATTTTCTGCGCACAGTTCCAAATACATTTTATATGCTTCTACGTGACAATCCTATGTATAATGAACACGTACACTATATTATGGCAGTAGAACATTCGTACTGTCCGAAGACACTGTGTTACGTGCATGACACGTGTACACATATCCGGCACATATTTCCATTGTATTATGCTAATCTATGTATATATACAGTCTATTAACACACTATCACACACTATATACATTCACCATTAACACACTCAGAACTCCACAAGTGTCAACTGCCACACCCTCACTCCTCCAACATCCAGTCTCTCCCTCACTCCTCCAACATCTTACTCGCCAACATTGCTCCTCCCACCATACTGTTAATTGTTTGTATTGCACTATTTACACATGTTATGTATACCTATCTACATGTTTTATTCACCAGAACTATGCAAGTAAGCCAGTATTGTGTCCAAACTTTACAGTGGCCACCATACACTGCATGGGAAATCACACAGCAGCCAGCAGATGACGCTACGATTACGTCACCTCCCTCACCAAAATAGCTCTTCCCAACATACTACTGTTGCTGTTACTACACTATATACACACATTGTATATACCCATGTACAAATGTGTTCACCATAGCAAACCACTAAGCTAGTATGATGAGCAAAACAAAAGTAGCTGCCACACAGTGAGGCTACCTCGATTCTCTCCCTTGCTCCCTCACCACAATTACTCCTCCCACAATGCTACGCACAGTGCTTATTATCACCACAATCCTGCTGTTATCACAATATTGGTCACTAAATCCTGTAAATACATAACTGACCACAAGTTTATTTTGTAAAGGAACCTAAGAAGTTGTTTGAAGATTCCTAGATGGACAAAATAATGCTGTGGTGCTGTGGCTAGCGCTGTGAACATCGTGAACAGCATTGAATCACTAATATTTGAACATTGTACCCAGTCATTATCACACTCAGGCTCTTCTATAATACTATCATGGCTAAATAAAACAAGTTATATATATATTTTGACATTATTAGGCAATGCTGTGGTCACAAGCTGAACAGCAGTGCTGTGAGCTCATGCTGCATGCGCCGGCCTTGGTTGCTCACTCACTACTGAGGCTCGCACACCCGGGAATGTGGACCATGAATTTTTTTAAAGATGGCGTCTGTTTACAAGAGCCCTGAGGAAGCTGATGTGAACCCCATGTAGCCGGGGAAAGTTTTGAATATAACGTGAAAAATACAAATACCTGGAGACACATAACACACCCCAGACGTGGGCCTGCAGGCGCGTTGCGCAGTTAGAGGGTTAACTACAATATATATACACTATACATACAAAAGTTCAAGTGAAAAAAAAGCAAATGCAAATTAAGAAAGAATAATAATAATAATAATCTACTGTGAATAAAAAATGCAAACTGCACACACAGAACTGCTTTTACCATAACATGATAATCAACAGGAGGCTCATCATCTCTATCTCTGTAAGTAGCTTCAAGAAGAACTGTGATTGTTCCCGAGGCATCTGAGTGTTCAGTGCTATAGGTCCCATTTTCATTGGCTGCCTGTAATTGATATTTGCATGAAGGGCTGCTAGGGTTGTCAGAAGAGGTGAGGAAGAGGGTCCACCGCTGTAGGTCTACACATTGCTGCAAATATACGAGATAAGTATTACTAGTCTAAATTGTTAATAAAACCAGCGCTGAATGTAATTAAATGCCTCTTTCTGGTTGAGCCCTGGTGGCTCCCTACAGCTATCTTGCTGAGATGGCTCCCCACTATTATGTCACATCAGTCACAGGAGTCCTCTTTGGCCATCCGGGTACCAGAGCCAGAACCTGGCTTACTTAACAGAGGTGCACAGGGAGAAGGAACTATTATCGTCATCCCACCAGAGAAAGAACTATTATCGTCATTCCACCAGAGAAGGAATAGCAAGTTTGAAGCTTTACAGACAACTGCATAGAAAATGAATCACAGAAACAGCCAAACGACCCAGTAAATTTATTCAGGAGAATGAGCAAATCACTAATAAGTGGCAACCCATTAGTACCAATGCCCACCTTCAGGCAGCCTGGAGCCTTGACTCATGCTTGCTCCAACCCACAGTTTAGAGCTTATGGAAACCCAACTGATGAACCTGGTAGAGAGAGAGCAAGTCAGGGAGCCACCAGGTTAGTTTAGTTTTTAGTTTAGTTCACTTATTATGCACCTCATACCCATCTTGTGGGCAGTGGTGGAAAGGGTTACAGAGGCACATAATAAGCTCAGGGACTGAACCCCACAATTCATTTAGTTAAAAAAGTTACAATCTTTATGAGCTAGTTACAAAATTCAATACACATCGTCACATCATCAATGGGTTCGAGATTGACCTCAAGACAGTTTCTAAATTAAGCAACTGACATGTGGAGAGCAAGTGTCACAATTAATATGTTTGTCCTGCACACCACCCCCCATCCAGTGGGCAGCGGTGGATAGGTTACAATCATTTAGTTACTACCTACAGTTAGCAAACTGAGGATATTTGGCTAAAATTTCTGGAAGCAGATCATTTTGAATGAAATATTTACACATCTCTGGAATATTGGTTATAGAATTGTCTCTGAATTCACATATCTTTTTGCACTCCATCACAGTGACGGAGGGTGTGCGAATAATTTTGTTGACATAGTTTACATTTGGTCAGGTCTACATCAGCAGGTAATGAGAATTCCCAGAGATACAATACTTGTAACCAAGTCTAAGCCGAGCAGTAGTAACATCTAGAAGTCTGCTGATTTTAATGCATGAACCATAGATGTCTGGCTCCACTTGCATGATAGTATGATGATAGATGAAATTACTGGTGTCAATTTAACTTTGCCTCAGATCTACAAGATTTTTTGAAGTTCTTGGTGTACTATTGCTCTCAGACTAATTTTTACAGATGACAACAAAGAAATGCGTGAAATACTGAAACTTCGGTACAATTCTGTTTTCAGTGAACCCCTGACTATATTGAAGATCAATGATCCAAATGAAATCTTCATGAATGCGATACCAACATCGAACCACATATCAGATGTCACCCTAACCTCACTGGACTTTGAAGTAGCCATAGACAGCATGCCCAAGTACTCTGCACCAGGCCCAGACTTGTAGAATTCTATATTCATCAAGAAGTGCAAAACACCACTATCACAGGCCATAAACATCTTTTGAGGGCTAGATACTAGTGTCATCCCTGCCATACTTAAAACAGGGGAGATCACGCCACTTCACAAAGGAGATAGTAAAGCAGAGGTAAAAAATTATAGACCAATAGCACTAACCTCACACATCATAAAAATCTTTGAAAGAGTGCTAAGAAGTAATATTACATATCATATGGAATCACAACATCCACATTACCCTGGATAAAACGGATTCAGAATAGGGCGCTCCTGCCCCTCTCAGTTGCTTGATCACTATGACATGGCCTTAGCTGCCATGGAAGACAAGCAAAATGCAGATGTAATATACACAGACTTTGCAAAAGCTTTCGACAAATGTAACCATGGTGTTATTGTCCACAAAATGCATGCAAAAGTTATTTCTGGCAAAGTAGGGAGATGGATCTTCAACTTACTAGCGATCCGAACGCAGAGTGTAATAGTCAACACAGTAAAATCTGGATCATCTAATGTAAAAAGCTCAGTTCCCCAAGGTACTATACTTGCTCTGGTATTTTTTCTCATCCTAATATCAGACATAGACAAGGATACAAACTACAGCACTGTATCATCATCTGCAGATGACACTAGGATTTTCATGCAAATAGACAATATAGAGGACACGGCAAACCTCCAATTGGATATAAATCGGATCTGTCAATGAGCCAAAGATGTTAATATGATGTTCAATGAAAATAAGTTATAGCTCCTGCGCTATGGAAAAAATTTAAATTTAAAAATGGAAACCATGTATAAAAACGGAATCAAATGACACTACAGAACAAAAAAACTAGCGTTGAATGTAATGAAACGCCATTTTTCTGGGTGAGCCCTGGAGATTACCTGGAGCTTATCAGGCTAATGTATGTTATATTAGACCAGGACATTAGCTATGGAGTTCAGACCTACCAGGGACCAGCACCAGAACCTGGCCCCTTCAGAGAGGTTTCAGGGAGCAATGGCCCTGGAAAACCCCTTTGTGATTGGGGGTTTTCCTTATCTGCCATCGACCGGGGTTAGGCACCCAGAAAGGTAGGCATAACAAAACAAACCCCACATGGTAAGAAACTAACAACAAAAAACAGAGGTAGAACTCTCTACAATCCCAAGGAAACAAGCAAACGTAACACACTCCTGCCACGCTGCTCATCCTTGCAGCCCTAGCCAACCTAGCACGTTGCAGCAACCTAAACTGAGCTTGTAACGCAAATACCGCCTGTACTCCGAACAGTAAGGACATCAGGAGAGTACTGGAGAACAAGCAGAGAATAGAACTCGCAAGACTCTGGGTCAACATGTCAGGGACCCAACAGGCAACATGACAGGTAAAAGTGGCGACTGTCACCCTGAGACAAGGGCACAGCAACCATCGAACCCGTACAAGACGGGATGGAACCCGGAAGACACATCTAATGGTCCACAGAGCCCTGACAGGGTTTTTCAGGGGCCCGTAGTCTGACTGCTATGGGAAGCCCAGGCAATGTCAGGGGCGCCTGACAGCTGAGTGGACAGCGCTTCAGATTCATAGTCCTGAGGTTCCGGGTTCGATCCCCGGTGGAGGTGGAAACAAATGGGCAGAGTTTCTTTCACCCTGATGCCCCTGTTACCTAGCAGTAAATAGGTACTTGGGAGTTAGACAGCTGCTACAGGCTGCTTCCTGGGGGTGTGTAACAAGAAGGAGGCCTGGTCGAGGACTGGGCCGCGGGGACGCTAAGCCCCGAAATCATCTCAAGATAACCTCAAGAAAGCTAACAAGGGGTAGATGCAACACTGAAAACCCCTGCAATGTGTACAAGCACAGGGGCCTAGCATAGGGCCACCAAACATTATCAGTGGAACTATAGCCACACTAGGCAAACCCCCACCAGGCAAATGAAAATAAAACAAAAGAAAAACCCCGCAAAAGTACACCATCCCCAGAGGAAACAGGAACCGGTCACCGCATAGGTGGCAAGTCGTGCAACACTTTGACGCTCTAACCAGCACAAAACAAGTCCCTACCCAAGGCCAAACAAGGGCCCCAAGCCCTAGCTGGCCCCAAGGGTGAGGCAAAAGCTGAGCAGCAAGAACCTCTACGTGAATAGTTCCCGAACGCCCCAGAGAAGATAACCCTGTCATGCCAACCCGTTCTCTTAAAAATAATGTCACTTTTCGCTCATATGCACGCTATGGCCAAATTTGGATGTAATTTGAAATGAAATCGACTCACAAAAGTGACGTACTGTTCCATTTTCTGTTTGAGTTGTCCGGCTTACTCGGAACGCTTAGGAGAGGAAACTTTCAACTAACGTTTTTCATAACGTTTTGAAACTTTATGAGAATTTCCTGCCCACCTAACCTATCACAGGACCCTTAACTTACTGTTGTTGAAAAAAAAATCCCAATTTTCATTTTTTTTTTCATTTTCAAATTACGTCTACTTTCGGCCATACGGGCAAACGGCCAAAAGCGACGTTATTTTTCAGAGGACAGGTTAGTCACGCAGGGGCAGTACTTTCAGGACGCTTAGGGAAGGAAGCCCCTAAAGCGCATGCAGCTCCAGCACTGATGAGGAATACCTGGCTACCGCACAACACAAAAACACAGCAGTGAGGAGTGCCATGAAGGCAAACACCACCTAGGAAACTGAGGCCAGAGAAGCGCCTGTCCCGGTTGACATTAGCTTACGAACTGGAATGCTTTGCAGCCGACACAGTGAGGTCCGGGGCCCCCCCCCTCCAGGAGGGGAGGGCAGCGCAGACAAGCGGCACGGCAGGAGTGTGTGTTACGTTTGTTTGCTTGTTTCCTTGGGATTGTAGGGATTTCTACCTCTCTGTTCGGTTTTTTGTTGTTAGTTTCTTACCATGTGGGGTTTGTTTTGTTATGCCTACCTTTCTGGGTGTCTAACTCCGGTCGATGGCAGATAAGGAAATCACTCCAGGGTCATTGCTACCTGAAACCTCTCTGACGGGGCTAGATTCTGGCGCTGGTCCCTGGTAGGTCTGAACTCCATAGCTAATGTCCCGGTCTAATGTAACATACATTAGCCCGATAAGCTTCAGGGAGCTGTAGGGGCTCCCCTCAGAAAAGCAATGTAAAGGATCTAGGAGTAATCGTTGTTAGAAGACCTTAGCTTTACAGAACACCATGAAGTATCTGTCACAACTGCCAGAAAAATGACAGGTTGGATAATAAGGACCTTCCAAACAAGGGATGCCATACCAATGATGATACTTTTCAAGACACTAGTGCTCTCTAGGGCTTTATATTGTTGCACTCTAACAGCCCCATTCAGAGCCGGAGAAATTGCTGACCTAGAGACCATGCAAAAATCCTTCACCGGTAGAATCCACTATAAGTCATCTTAATTACTGGGACCAATTAAAAGTTCAAAAACTGTATTCTCTAGAGCGCAGGCAAGCGTTACATAATAATCTACACATGCACATGGAAGATATTGGAGCGACTGGTTCCAAACCTGAACACAGAAATAACATCACACGAGACCAGTAGGCATGGTAGGATGCGCAAAATACCCCCGTTGAAAAGAAGAGGTACAATAGGTACGCTGAGGGAGAACTCTATCAACCTGAAGGCCCAAGACTTTTCAACACACTCCCGCTACACGTATGGAGCATAACTGACCAGCCTCTCACAGTGTTCAAAAGAGAACACGACAAACAATACCAAGAATACTTTATCAACCAGGCTGTGATTCATACGTCAGGCTGCAACCAGCCGCATCCAACAACCTGGTTGACTAGACGATCAACCAGGAGGTCTGGTCAGAGACCGGGCAGTGGGGCTGTTGATCCCTGGAAGCTACACAAGATAGCCACAAACTATGTACTGTATACCATTTTCAGCCTATATGTTTTCCCACCCAATATGGTTCCTATTAATTTGGCCACTTTGTATACTCATGCAAAGCATTAGCAGAAATAAAATAAAGGTTTGGTATTTTTTAGAAATGAATCAAAGGAAACGAGTTTTAGAATTATCAAAACCAATTAGCAAAACATATACTGACAACCTGACACCTCTGTTAATGATCCATGTAGAACATAATCTATCAAGGTCAACAATTATAACTAAATCTGGTGCCCTAGCTAGGTTTCTCCACTTTATTTAACTTAATAAAAATCAATAATGAAATAAAATATAAGCATGTTTGTAAAGAGGAATTCAAATACTGTACTATGTACAGCACTTGACTTTCTTCACCTTTAAGAAAAAAATATTAAGTGAAAACCTCTAATAAATGTTACAGAATGAAAAAAACTGTAAAAGGGAGAACATGGGGACATTACTGTGGCATGAACAATACACACAGACTCAGTAGTAAGTGCAGTCTAACAAAAGAACATCAAACAGCACACTTAACACTATCAATTTCATGGCATGCCAAAACTTTATGATTTGGTGCACAAAATACAGTTACCCTTCACTACACCTGCCACTAAAGTATTTATATCATGAGGTAGATAAATCCAAAAGCGTAAACCAAACAAAAATATAAATTAGTCGGCTGGATAAAATATACCAACACACCAACCTTAGGGGAGATTATGACTGCCTGTTTATTGTTGTCACGCCACAGCTGCTGTCCCAAGGTGCCTTCATTGCTGTTCTGACAAAATGGGGAGCTCCCACATGGCTCGTTCACTGTTACCCCGCCTGCTCAACAAGGAATCAATTGTCATAATAGTCAAATTCACAATGACAAGCATTTTCTAACATAAATGTTTCATCAAATAGAACCAGGGTTGAATGTAATGAAACACCATTTTCTGGGCAAGCCCCGGAGGCTCCCTGAAGCTATCAAACTGACATGTGGCATATTAGTTTGGTGCCATCAGTCCTTGGAGTTCGTGTGCCTATCATGGACCACGAGCCAGAACCTGGCCCTCTCAGAGAGGCGAAGGGAGCAATGGCCATATGAGCTCTCTATATTCAGAGTTTATCATATCTGCCATCGACCGGGGATACCACCAGAAAGGTAGGCAAACAATTACAAACCTCTAACTGGTTAAAATTGCAACCTACGTTCGAAAAGAGCCAAAGATTCCCCCCACCCCAAAAGAAAACGATAAAACAAGCAACACGTCATCCAACTAGCATGCCCGCTCATTAGCACCCCCACCTCCCCCGATGGGAGAAGGGGACCCCACTCATTTGAGCCGGCCATATTACCCTCAGTTAGGAGAATGATGAAAACCGCCGACCAGACGGGGAAGGGGAGGTTGTCAAGGCTCGCCCAGAAAATGGCGTTTCATTACATTCAACGCTGTTTTTTGGGGGAGCCCCATCAGCTTCCTGAAGCTGATGGGGCTTATCTACCCAAAGATAAGTAAAAACAGGGACTTACCAGGGAGGCGGCAGCACCGCAAGTTTCACGATGAAGATGCGACAACTGGCCGCGACAGACATCCCAAGGCAACACAAGGCCGCAGAGGGCCCGGAACGTCGACGAGATATCTGGCAGCCAGGACCCTGTTCGATTTCCAAAACCCCCGCTCCCAAATATTGACCAAGGACATGTTACAAAAGACAGCAGCAAGAGCTGCATACTTCATACTGCATACATGTAAGGTAATGCAACTAGGTGGTGGAAACAGGAGGCCAGACACAGGATACCGAATGGAAGATGAAGTCCTTCATGAAACGGAGAGAGAAAGATCTAGGAGTTGATATAATCCCAAACCTGTCTCCTGAAGCCCAAATCAAAAGAATAACAGCAGCGGCATATGCAAGGCTGGCTAACACCAGGACTGCCTTCAGGAACCTGTGTAAGGAATCCTTCAGAACTTTGTATACCACATACCTAAGACCAATCCTGGAGTATGGGGCCAGGCACAAGACGAAGCTGGAAAAAGTTCAGAGGTACAGTATGCCACTAGGCTAGTCCCAGAACTAAGAGGCATGAGTTATAAGGAAAGGCTGCATGAAATGCACCTCACATCACTGGAAGACAGGAGAGCTCAGGAAGACATGATCACTACCTACAAAATTCTCAGAGGAACTGACAGGGTAGATAAAGATAAACTGTTTAACACTGGTGGTATGCGAACAAGGGGACACAGGTGGAAACTGAGTACCCAAATGAGCCACATGGATGGAACTATGTGGGTGTATGTAGGAAGAACTTTTTCAGTGTTAGAGTAGTTAACAGATGGAATGCATTAGACAGTAATGTGGTGGAGGCAGACTCCATACACAGTTTCAAATGTAGATATGATAGAGCTCAGTAGGCTCAAGAATCTGTACACCAGTTGATTGACAGTTTCGAGACGAGACCAAAGAGCCAGAGCTCAACCCCCGCAAGTACAACTAGGGGAGTATCCTCACATCACATCATGCCCCTCACATCATGGGCACATGGGTAGACTGCAGACTGATTAGACTTGATAACCCTGTGGACAACCTGAGAGATACGACCCCTGGAACAGGGAACCAGGGAAACTGGGTCTACCAAGAGCACATTTACTTGCGCTGAACCAGTAGCGCACAGGTATCAACATAAAGCCACACCAGACACAAAACATGATGCACCCTCGGCTAAACCAACCAACATCAACAACCCACGGACCCCTCCGGAAACCAGTCGTCTTAATTCTTCACCAGAAAAGGAGGAGAAGGCTGCAACCAAAAAAAACGACCCCCAAAACCAAAAGAGTAGAAACCCCTGCAACAGAGAAGAACATGAAGCTCTGTCACCCGACCCCAAGAGGCCAAAGCCAACAAAAACAAAGCCTCGAGAAACAATCCTGGACCGAGAAGAGAGAAATGCGAGCACCCGGTCCAAAGACCAACAAAACTTGGGCAGTGCATGAGCAAACTAGAGGTGAAAAAACACACGAGAGAGCTTGTGGAATGAAGCAGAAGTAACGTCCACCCTGAATGCAAGCTGGAGCAGATCCACTAGCGCCTCACAATAAGAAGCGACAGTATTCAGCATAAGATGTCGGTCTTGAAACAGCCAAGCAAATAATTACAAGACAACACAAACAGAAGATAACGTACAAAGAGAAATGAAGTGGCAACAAGAAGGGCAAGAGACTTCATACTGTCACCGAGAAGACCGGAGGTGGGACACCATGAGAGAAGCCACCTGATCACTATACAAGTGGTGATACACATGCGTCAAAAATACCAGATGCAAAGAGCGGAGGAGTAGATCAAACCAGCAAGGTACCTCACCAGCCTGATCTGTTGAAAAAAGGCAGAGCTGCAGAAAACGTCCCGGGTTTGGACACCGAGCAAGCAGCGACTGAAACCATGGCTGGGCCAGCCACCATGGAGCCAGAAGGAGAACCCTCCCCCTATAGGACTCCAGCCAAGCCAGAACCTGAAGCAACAGCTGGAAAGGGGGGAAGAGGTACAAATACCCCCACCTTGACCAGGGGAGCCACATACACTGGAAGATGCCATGACCACGCCGACGCAAAGAGGTACACCTCCGAGGGCCAGAATGAATGCCAAAGCCTGATGGAACGACGGAGCCAAGCTCCCCTGGCTGGGTTGGTGAGCACTGGTCACAAAGCCCCAGCCGAGAGACGAGGCGTCCTTGAACACATCGAGTGAGGGGTTCTGGAAGCGCCAAGGCACTGCACTCTGAAAAACCTGAAAAGAAAGCCAGTGACACAGCAACCGACAAAGGCCCCGGGGGACAAACCCAGCAGTTGTGAGAGCGGCAGAAGGGACAGCCGCGAAGAAGTCACAACAGATGTCGCAGCCGAAGCCAAACCCAACCCAGTGGGTAAACCAGCGCGGCGAAGTTTAAATTACCACACAGCTGCTCAAGCAACTGCCGAGTGACCCGGGACCCCCTCAAGAACAGCCGAGGGCAAGAACTGATACCTGCAGCCGGAGCAATATCGCAGGAGGGAGACACACACACGCCCAGCCAAGTCCGATTCAAATGGGATTTCTTCCAGTTCACCAGGAACCCAAACCCGGTGAGTTGGGAAATAATCAAACCCCTGATGAGCAGACAAGCAGACTGGTTTGTGTGGGCTCCCAGCCAGTCGTCGATGTAGGCCAAACCTCGAACACCTAGCAGATGTAGACGGGCCACCACAACCCGGGTAAGACAAGTGAAATGCGAGATACCAGATTCAGCCTGAAGGGAAGGCAACGAAGGTGGTAAGCTCGCTGCCCCACCACGAAACCTAACCAGTCCCAGAACCCTGGATGAATAGGGAAGTGCCAATACGCATCCCGGAAGTCCAGACACACCATCCAAGAGCCCGGTTCCAAAAGAAGCTAGACCTGGGACAGAGTGGTCATCCAAAAGAGGGGGCAAGGAATCCAGCGGTTTAGACGGGACAAGTCCAGGATGAATTGAAGATCCGCACAGTCCCATTTTAGAACCGGAAACAAGCGAGGGACGAAGTCGTTTCGACTACGCCCAAGAACACCCACTCCATGATGACCAAATGGAGTGAAGGCGAGGAAGCTTGCCCTACCAGCCCCAAGCATCTGAGAGGAGGAGGAGCCACTTACCGCCACCACAGGCCCGAAAATACGACCCCAAACGCCCAAGAATCACGGGACCAAGCATGGGCAAACAGACCCCCCCCCCCCCCCCCCCCCCCCCCCCCGAGTGCCCTGATAACGAGGCGACCCGGGAAAGAGCTAGCACCCCGTCTGAAAAGCCGACTTATGTGCAGAGCGATCAGCTCGCCGACCAGATGAAGACAGTTCTGGAGGAGGCACCGACTCAGAAGCTGGCACCAAGGGTCCACCTCAACCTACCGAAACCCGAGCCCTGGCACGACCCTTCCTAGAAGTGTGAGAATCCCCACCCCGAACCTCTAACAAATCAGAAAGAGGATGGAAAGTAGTAGAAGCCAGCTGAAAAAACAAAGAAACTATTGCGTCTGAAAACAACAATGGACAGAAAGGAGATGAAAACCTAAGAGCCAGGGCCTAAGCAGAGTCAAAAGAGAGAGCGAGGACGGCCTGCCTACACGCAAGGTGAAAGGCAAAAAACAGACACACTGCCTCCTGGAGGATTGGCACAAAGTTTTAGCAATGCCACCAACACCCGAGCAGCTGAGGCCAATGCCCCAGACAAAGGCCTGGCACTCAACACCTACACATACTCCACAGGTTAGTCCAAGGACAACTCAAGAAGGGAAAAGAAGCACGAGACCAAGGCCAGATGCTCGCAAGCGCGAAGATCCGTAACCAAGGCAGCCGAAAGGAAGGGGACCTATGTGTGCAACTTGTGCAACCTCACAAGCCGATTCATCAACATTGTATGTACAGTACACAAATTTTTTATTTTTTTTTGCCTCCATCTCCAATACTTTAATAAAAAAAAAACAAAGAAAGAGAGATGCTTACACTGTATATTATTTAAAGTTGCCTTTTCAGGAAAATAGCCTATATCACCCCTTTCTTTAAATGTATTGTACAGTACCCATTATCTCTATAGTCAGCTTTTCCACTCTCTACTACAACAATTATCCGTTTCATTTTTCTTCCGTGCAAAATCCATATGAACATACAATCTCAACACACTTCCCATGCAATTTAGTTCCGTAATTACTTATCACTCACTATATTTAAAAAAATATGAACAATGAAAAATGACATCATCCAGAATACAGTATATACATATAATACTACTACAGTACCTATGTTGTGTATGCTTAATTAATATTTATACAATAAAACAACTAACTGTCTTATATTCAAACAGCATTTACAAAAGCACAGGCTATCTTGCTTCATATATTATATATATAGTACTGTATAACAATAAAAAATCAGACCTGCATCAGAAATAACAATGTCTTGCACCAAGAGTGATGAGTGAGGCTGGGACAGTGCCTTAGCCATAAGCATGACAGCTTCACTGTGTCGCCAGCCTCGCAGCATGCGACACAGAAGCCCACACATGGACAACATTTTGGTGTTTGATAGTGCTAGATCGGTGGACTCCTTGTTGCCGACTTCACGTTGCTTCAGTCACTGAAAGGTTCAGAAACTTGAATGACATTTTATTGCATTTCATTCAAATTTCAAAGTAAAATTATATATGTTTTGATCAGTCTCAGATTTACCACCAACAATCAATCACATCCCATAACCAAAACCATGGTACAAGTGAATGATCACACCATACAACCAGATCAGCTCCCCCCTCCAACTGACTACAATCCCAATTCTACAAATCACTCAAATGTAACCAGTTCTAGTATCACTGTCCCATAGTATACAAGTAAACTCACAAAGACTAGGGTTCATAAGGGCTGTCAAATGATGTACCTAGTGAAACTGCAAGCAAGAGCTGTTATCCTACCTCAGCTCATCTACAGCCTGCTCCTGGGGGCCCATTTATTTCATGAGCCTGTTATATGCATCAGTTGGAATAGCCTTTAGTCATTAACAACATTAGGTACCAATCATATAAGAAACAGAATAAGCTTGTAGCCAACAGTGTAATTACTTAAGTGCACGATCGTGGTGTCCCGTCTTCCTAGCACTCTTGTGTCATATAACACTTTGAAATTACTGACAGTTTTGGCCTCCACCACCTTCTCACCTAACTTGTTCCAACTGCCTGCTACTCTGTGGAAGTGAATTTTCTTAAAATTCTTCTGCAGCTTTGTTTAGTTAGTTTAAATCTATGATCTCCTGTTCTTATAGTTCTAGGTCTCCAGGAATTCTTCCCAATCAATTTTATCGATTCCATTACTATTATCATATTGCCTCTTTTTCTGCTATCTTTTAATTTTGGCATATTTAATGCTTCTAACCTCTACTTGTAGCTCTTGTCCTTCAGTTCTGGGAGCTATTTAGTTGCATGTCTTTGCACCTTTTCCAGTTTGTTGATGTGCTTTTTAAGATATGGGCACCATACAACAGTAGCATCCATGTATTTAAAAGTAAATCTGAAATTAGAAAGTGTAACATAGCCTCATCGCATGATGTTCTTTATGTGGTCCTCATGTGATAGTTTTCTATCAAGAACCACCCCTAGATCTTTTTCTGTAACAGAATTTTTTAAATATTTCTCATAAAATTTAGAGGTTGTGTGAGGTCTATGTTCTCCTATTTCACATTCCATAACATGGCCTTTATTCACATTAAATTGAATCTACCCAACACTCTTTGTCATATAACGCTTTGAAACTACTGATGGTTTGGCCTCCACCACCTTCTCACTTAACTTGTTCCAACCGTCTACCGTTCTGTTTTGCGAAAGTGAGTTTTCTTATATTTCTTCGGCATCTTTGTTTAGTTAGTTTATATCTATGACCTCTTGTTCTTGAAGTTCCAGGTCTCGGGAAATCTTCCATATCGATTTTATCAATTATTTTGCAATTGATAAAAAGAATTTGTCTTCTTCATTTCTATCCCCATTTAGACATGTTGCTTCAATGAGGTTCATTTTCAGCTTTTCTCTGTATTCCTTTGAGAGGTCTTGTCTTATTGTCCAAAGTTTGCTAACCTCATCACTCTGCAATTTCCTGGCATTTCTAAGCACTTCCATCATGTTTTCATTCCATTAAACGTCATTCTTAAGGGGCGGTTCTTGTCTTTCTCATATTTTCCTATTCTTCTAAAATCATTGACATTTTCCTTTGAGCTTTCTCCTAAACCTACTGTTTTCTCTGATTTTCATCTCTTCTGCTGCTTGGTCCACCCTAGATGAAATTTCCTTCTCTAAACATCCAAAAATTATTATGAACTTCTATCTGCAGTGTTTTGTACTAGTTTACTGTTGGTAACCATTTCTTCCCTAATTGCTTGCCTAATTTCTGCTTCTTGTTGGTCATTTCTGGTTTTGACTTCTGAACACACTTCCTTGATTGTCCCTTTCTCTTTTACAACTTGTGCATATGTCTCTTTTATTTCTTCTTTATACTTTTCTAGTTCTTTATTAGCCTCCTCTATTTGAGTTGCCAATGAAGTTTCTCATTGCATCTCCTTGCCTAACTCCATGTTAGCCCGCAGGCTCCCTTGGAGTTGTTCACCATATGAGTCTATTTTCTTGTTAATTTCTTCAAATTCCCTACTGTTCACTTTCCATGCCTCATTATCCTTTACTAGTTCCTTGATGTGTTCCTCCTGCATCCTTACCTTATCAGTCAAGCTGGTAATTTCCTTATCTTGCTGGAAAATACTTCCTTTTAAATTACAAAACCCAATCTTGAGACCTTCATTTTCTTGTTCTAATTTAATAACCTTTTCTTCATAATTCTTTAGCATGTCCTCAATAATCATTAACCTGCCAAGAAAACCAACTTTCATTACATCTTGTTGCAAGAAACCTGCAAAACATTCCCTTGCTAGGTTACTGTTCTCCCCCTGCAGTCGCAGCCATCTTTGTTGACATTCTGCTGTTTTGAAAGATCAACTTTTCTACCCAAGATTTTTCATTCACTAACACTTATTTCTTATCTCTTTAGTTTAGGGGTGCACCAGTTCTGGTGTTTTGCGTCCTTTTTTCTCGGATGCTTCACCTCTCGTTCTTCTCCTTTCTCCGGTCCGTACTCCGTAGCTCCTGGGGTGTTCTGGATTGCAGCTATGAGGAGAACGCCGGGGTTTTCGCTGTGTCATGGGTGTGGGGCGCCTCCTCGCCTCTACCTTGCTCTCCTGCGTCTCCTCACTTAGTTGTCCGCCCCTGGTTTTGCTTCATGGGGTTGAGCTTTGGCTCTTTCGTCCTGCCTCTCCCCTGTCGCTTCCCTGACATCTCCTGGGCTCTGTCATGTCTGCACTTGCAGCTGTGTGTGGGGTCAGATTCCACCACTTCCCTTCCTCGTGCATTCCATTTGTTTACTACTCTGCTGCTGGAATGTTTCCTTCTTGTGTTTCTTTGGCTCCTTTGGGCGCTCCTTCCGCCTGTGTCGCATGGTGCGTGTGCACTTGTGAGCATTGGTCTGTCTTCGTTGCTCATACCCCTTGGTTCGGGTACTGGTCTGGTGGCAACCCTTTGCACCTTCTCTGTTTGGTTTGTACCCGAGATCTTCCCACGACTCCGCCTCTTCCTAGGCTCGAATGAACCTTGACGGGGCTGGTTAGGTTCTGCCTCCAGTCTCTCACCTTCGGTTGGTGGTTTCTTTTTTGTTGGTGTCCTACCTGCGTGCTTCTTCTTGGCGGCAGTATGGGGTATTTTGGCAGTCCTTCCTTTTCCTTCTATCCCTTCTTAGGTGGCTGCATTTGTTGGCGTCATCTTGGCTTTTCTGGTGAGGGTTCGGGGCCGTCATCTTGCCGCCTCGTTTTATGCGCCGCTGGCAGAGCCGCTTCGTCTTGCTTTCAGTCTTGGTGTTACATCTGCGCCGTTTGTAAGCTGTCTTGTGCGTTGTTTCACCTCTGGCCTGTTCATGTGCTGCCTGAGCCATCCTGGTCTCTGGACAGCGTGCTCTTTCTTCTCTTTGGTTCAGGTTCGTTTCTCGACGGCTCTTTTCCTGTTGGCATTTGCCTCTAGGGATCAGGTCGGTGAGCAGCTGCTTCTCCTCCGGCGCAGGGGGTTTCTGCTCCTTCAGTCGTGGTGATAGGTTTGTTCAGTTGCAGCCGTCTCCCTCTTTTCTAGCACGGAATGGGACTGCTGCTTTCTGGAGGGGTCCTTGATTTGTTGGTGTTTGGTTGGTCGGGCTGGGGGTGCATTGTGTTTTGTGTCCGGTTGTGGCCCTCCCCTGTTATTTGCGCGCCACGGTTTCTGTGTCCAGGACGCGCTTTGGGTTGATCCGTTTCCCTTCTTCCCTGTTCGCGGGTGAGGGTCTCCCAGATCGTCTGCCATGTTATTGCGGCTAGCTAGCCTGTGTTCTATCCCTGTGCCCATGGCATTCATAGATTCACTGCTCTTGCTGCCATCTTTGCGGCATGTCCTAGCCGACATTTGGGCACGGGGCTATTAGCGGTCATACAGGGGCCTGGCTGCTCGATATCTCGTGTCTTCCCGGGCCCATTTGGGCCTGTGTCACCTTGGTTTGGCGGTTGCAGCTAGTTGTCCTATTTCCAGTTGGGGAATATGCAGTGACCACCTCCCAGGTACGTCCCTCTTTTTTCCTCTGTCGGTTATTAACTCCGGGAAGCCTCCCCCCAGAAAACCAGCTTTGAATGTAATGAAATGCCATTTTCTGGGTGAGACTCGGAGGCTCCCCAGCAACCCTCTCTCCCTCCGGTCTCTCCCTCCGGTACTTTTAAGGTGGTTATCTTGAGGTTATCTTGAGATGATTTCGGGGCTTTTTAGTGTCCCCGCGGCCCGGTCCTCGACCAGGCCTCCACCCCCAGGAAGCAGCCCGTGACAGCTGACTAACACCTAGGTACCTATTTTACTGCTAGGTAACAGGGGCATAGGGTGAAAGAAACTCTGCCCATTGTTTCTCGCCGGCGCCTGGGATCGAACCCAGGACCACAGGATCACAAGTCCCGCGTGCTGTCCGCTCGGCCGACCGGCTCCCTGGTGAAGAAAAGAAGTGATTTACTATAGAGTGTATTTTTTGTGTGTTTTTTGACATCCAGCCTCAGAACTGATGGTGGATAGCCGGTGCGGTAGGTCTAGGACTCCCCCTTCTCCCTCCTGGGGAGGGGGGGGGAGCTGCGCAGACAGCGGCGCATTGATGTGTGACGTCATGATCGTTTGCTCGTTTCTTTTAGGGGTTTTAGGGGAGTTCTATCCACTTGTTTGGCTTGTGGTAGCAATTTTTACCAGAATAGGGGTTTGTTTTGGGACACTTACCTTTCTGGATGCCTGACCCAGTCGATGGCAGACATAGAATGCTTCCAACCACACGGGGGTTTCTATAGGCCATTGCTCCCCTTGCCTCTCTGAGGGGGCCAGGTTCTGGCTTGTGGTCCCCTGTAGGCCCATAGAACTCCTTACACATGACTGATGCCAAAGTCTGACATTAGTATATCAGCCTAGATAAGCTCCAGGGAGCCTCCGGGTCTCACCCAGAAAATGGCATTTAATTACATTAAACGCTGTTTTTTTCCCATATTTTGACTATTACACTTGTGAATGATACAAGTCTGTAATTGAGGGGGTCTTTCCTGCTGCCACTTTAGTGGATTGGAACTATGTTAGCCTTTTTCCACACGTTTGCTAGGACTCCTGTACACAGGGATGCCTGAAAAAATCTGTTGAAGTGGCATGCTGAGCTCAGGTGCACATTCTCTCAGAACCCATAGTGAAACTCCATCTGGGCCAACTGCTTTGTTCTTAATTAGCTCCTTGGTCATTTTTTTCCACTTCATCTCTAGACATCTGATATACCATCTGATTTACCTTTAATGTTAATTAATTAATTCAGCATTTTATGAAGACCTACTAAGATTTCACTTAAGTTAGACATTATATAAAAATGCAAATATTAATTAATTTTAAAAGCATCCCATCCACTACTAATTCCAAACAGCATAATGGTCAAGTCAACTTGTACTTTATAAAGTGTTGAAGAACCCATATACAAGCCGGGTGCCTGCAGCTCTACTAACAACAAATGAGATCTGGCAGAAGAAGCTACATAAGTGATCCCGGCTGTCTCCTTACTGGTGACCAACTTAAGCATACAATTGACTTTAGTAAACACTTCTCATGTCTACCTGCAAGGCACTCATTGCCTTGTTTCCCTTTCATGTAACAGAGGCAGTAGACAGAATACTGGTAAGCAGTATAGAAAAATATTGTATATGATTAAATACAGACTGATACAGTACCCATTAATTAGTCATTTTATATACTACTTATAAAATTTACCTGAGGGCCACTAACACTCTTGGCCTTGACAATCACAGGATGCTGGTGACTTGTCAAAGGTCTCCCCATTTGCTTTGATGACCTTTTCTAGTTGGATTTTAAAATTTAACAGTTTTGGCATTTACGACTTCGGTGGGTAGGCAGTTCCATGGGTTTATAACCCTGTGCGTGAAAAAGCATCTCCTGTTCTCAGTCTTACATTGTGGCTTGTTGGGATTGAAACCGTTGCTCCTTGTTTGTGTTACGTCTGATTTTTTTAAGAAATTGTCCAGATCAACATCCTCCAAATTGTTCAGTATTTTAAGTATGTAGCACTCAAATCCCAATGTGTGTACTTTCTCAATGCAATGTACCTTCTTGTATATAAAAAAAAAAATAAATAAACTTAGCTTGAAGCAGTGGGGCATGCCCACAATTTGATGGACTGGAAACATTATAGGCAGTTCTTCCCCCCCCCCCCCTCTCACACTTTTGGTTAATGTTTGTCTATATTATTTTAAGTTCTGGCCAAAACGATTTGTGTAATAGTAGCTTCATTAATATGTGTAACTCCTGTTCCTACAATTGTACATTACTGTACTCTTATGTGGTTTGTACACACATTCGTTTGAATAAACATTATATTATTATTATTATTCATACTGCATCATCAGCACTGAGCTGAGAACCAGCTGGGAACCAGCTGAGGGACAGGGCAGGACCATCTGGTGCTAATCGGTAGTAATGAGTTTCGAGCTAGTTTGAGTGAATCTCTTATTCTGTGTGAATTATTTGCAGAGTTGTTTGGCAGTTCAAGGATTTGTTTTCTGTGAACGTTCTAGATGTTTGCAAAACGTCACTGACCTTTTAGAGGCTTTTTCTGGTGGGTGGCAGATTGTTACTGTGAGGCAGCCCAGTTCTGGCTCTGGTAGGCCAAACAGAACTTCCACAACTGATACGAATTTAGTGTGGAGCAATCTCAGCAAGATGGCTTCAGTGAGTCTGCAATGCTCTCAGACGTAATGCTGAGCAGGCCAAATCAGTACCTCCATAAAATGACGCTGCTCATTAACAAATGACATTAAGCAAGAAGTGAGACTCCTAAAATAATGGGGTCATCTTTTGGCATATTTGCTAGTACCTGACAACCCTTCGACACAGCACTGGCACCCGACCGCCCCTCGACACAGGCCCCGGCACCCGATTGACCCTCAACACAGGCCCTGGCGCCCGATCCCCCCACGACACAGGCCCTGGCACCCGACCGCCCCTCGACACAGGCCCCGGCACCCGACCGCCCCACGACACAGGCCCCGGCACCCGAACGCCCCACGACACAGGCCCCGGCCCCCGACCGCCCCTCGACACAGGCCCCGGCCCCCGACCGCCCCTCGACACAGGCCCCGGCCCATGACCGCCCCTCGACACAGGCCCCGGCCCGCCCCTCGACACAGCCCCGGCCCCCGACCGCCCCTCGACGCGACACTGGCACCCGACAACCCATAGACGCGACACTGGCACCCGACAACCCCTCGACGCGGCACTGGCACCCGACAACCCCTCGACGCGGCACTGGCACCCGACAACCCCTCGACGCGACACTGGCACCCGACAACCCCTCGACGCGACACTGGCACCCGACAACCCCTCGACGCGACACTGGCACCCGACAACCCCTCGACGCGACACTGGCACCCGACAACCCCTCGACGCGACACTGGCACCCGACAACCCCTCGACGCGACACTGGCACCCGACAACCCCTCGACGCGACACTGGCACCCGACAACCCCTCGACGCGACACTGGCACCCGACAACCCCTCGACGCGACACTGGCACCCGACAACCCCTCGACGCGACACTGGCACCCGACAACCCCTCGACGCGACACTGGCACCCGACAACCCCTCGACGCGACACTGGCACCCGACAACCCCTCGACGCGACACTGGCACCCGACAACCCCTCGACGCGACACTGGCACCCGACAACCCCTCGACGCGACACTGGCACCCGACAACCCCTCGACGCGACACTGGCACCCGACAACCCCTCGACGCGACACTGGCACCCGACAACCCCTCGACGCGACACTGGCACCCGACAACCCCTCGACGCGACACTGGCACCCGACAACCCCTCGACGCGACACTGGCACCCGACAACCCCTCGACGCGACACTGGCACCCGACAACCCCTCGACGCGACACTGGCACCCGACAACCCCTCGACGCGACACTGGCACCCGACAACCCCTCGACGCGACACTGGCACCCGACAACCCCTCGACGCGACACTGGCACCCGACAACCCCTCGACGCGACACTGGCACCCGACAACCCCTCGACGCGACACTGGCACCCGACAACCCCTCGACGCGACACTGGCACCCGACAACCCCTCGACGCGACACTGGCACCCGACAACCCCTCGACGCGACACTGGCACCCGACAACCCCTCGACGCGACACTGGCACCCGACAACCCCTCGACGCGACACTGGCACCCGACAACCCCTCGACGCGACACTGGCACCCGACAACCCCTCGACACGACACTGGCACCCGACAACCCCTCGACACGACACTGGCACCCGACAACCCCTCGACACGACACTGGCACCCGACAACCCCTCGACACGACACTGGCACCCGACAACCCCTCGACACGACACTGGCACCCGACAACCCCTCGACACGACACTGGCACCCGACAACCCCTCGACACGACACTGGCACCCGACAACCCCTCGACACGACACTGGCACCCGACAACCCCTCGACACGACACTGGCACCCGACAACCCCTCGACACGACACTGGCACCCGACAACCCCTCGACACGACACTGGCACCCGACAACCCCTCGACACGACACTGGCACCCGACAACCCCTCGACACGACACTGGCACCCGACAACCCCTCGACACGACACTGGCACCCGACAACCCCTCGACACGACACTGGCACCCGACAACCCCTCGACACGACACAGGCACCCGACAACCCCTCGACACAACACTGGCACCCGACAACCCCTCGACACAACACTGGCACCCGACAACCCCTCAACACAACACTGGCACCCGACAACCCCTCGACACAACACTGGTACCCGACAACCCTTCAACACAACACTGGCACCCGACAACCCCTCAACACAACACTGGCACCCAACAACCCCTCGACACAACACTGGTACCCGACAACCCCCCGACACAACACTGGCACCCGACAACCCCTCGACACAACACTGGCACCCGACAACCCTTCAACACAACACTGGCACCCGACAACCCCTCGACACAACACTGGTACCCGACAACCCTTCAACACAACACTGGCACCCGACAACCCCTCGACACAACACTGGTACCCGACAACCCTTCAACACAACACTGGCACCCGACAACCCCTCAACACAACACTGGCACCCGACAACCCCTCAACACAACACTGGCACCCGACAACCCCTCAACACAACACTGGCACCCGACAACCCCTCAACACAACACTGGCACCCGACAACCCCTCGACACAACACTGGCACCCGACAACCCCTCAACACAACACAGGCACCCGACAACCCCTCAACACAACACTGGCACCCGACAACCCCTCGACACAACACTGGTACCCGACAACCCTTCAACACAACACTGGCACCCGACAACCCCTCAACACAACACTGGCACCCGACAACCCCTCAACACAACACTGGCACCCGACAACCCCTCGACACAACACTGGCACCCGACAACCCCTCAACACAACACTGGCACCCGACAACCCCTCAACACAACACTGGCACCCGACAACCCTTCAACACAACACTGGCACCCGACAACCCCTCAACACAACACTGGCACCCGACAACCCTTCAACACAACACTGGCACCCGACAACCCCTCGACACAACACTGGCACCCGACAACCCCTCAACACAACACTGGCACCCGACAACCCCTCGACACAACACTGGCACCCGACAACCCCTCAACACAACACTGGCACCCGACAACCCCTCGACACAACACTGGCACCCGACAACCCCTCAACACAACACTGGCACCACCATACTCCACCAACAAATCCTATTACAAGTGCGCCAATTTCCCAGTGTTGGTGTACATGCCTCCCGGCCCAGTACTCACTCTCGAGACAGGAAGTAATGGCAATCCGATCCCGTTGGCATGTTGGTGTAGAGTGATGTTTAGTGTGGTGGGAGGAGGAGTGGTGGCGGCGGAGGAGGTCGGCCCCGCCACAGCCCAGCTGATCACTGCAGCCTCCACACTGATCGAACTTCTGCTAGACCCGGCTCAAGCGAACCTCAAACGTGTTTACTAACAATTATTAATATTTTGTGCTCGGATAACCTCGTTTCTAAATATAATATCAAATTATTTAAATCGTTTTATTATTTAGGTTGAATGGTATTTTGTTTTAGAACTTAAGTTCGATTAATGTCAACAGTTTATTTGATGTCTCTTGTCGAAGGTAAATATCGCGGGATATTCAAATAATTTCTTTCAAATAATAATTATTTCAACCATTATTACAATAATTCTAATATTCTTGCAAAAAATATTAAAATAATTTAATAAATAAGCCCTGAAATTTCTTGAAATTATAAATAAAATTGGAATAAATATTTTTAAATAATCTAATAATAACAATTTGATTCATAAGAAAGTGTTTATAAAGAACATACGACAAAGGGACATTTGTATGATGTTTTTATTATTAACAAGCTTAGGTATACACAACAATATGCTGCTACCCTATTCTGTATGAAAGACTACACTGTGTAGATTAAAAACTAGCTATAAGTTCATCTACTATTCCCATCTCACAGGATGGTTCGTCATACATGGAATCAGGGGAGAAAATATCTACCTCAATACAAAAACATTGCATATATTTAGAGTTTGAAATTACGACTTTTTATACCGAAAATATGCCAATCAGTGAAACTGTGATAGGTCAGATTTTCACAAATCCCCCTGCAGTTTTCAAAATATTGAAAATATTGGAAATCTGACCCCTGAACGTTACTTTTGAGCCAAATTCTGGGTCACTGCACATATTTGGAGTTTGAAATTACGACTTTTTATATTGAAAATGTGTCAATTAGTGAAAACTGCGTTAGGTCAGGTTTTGCCCAAATCCCCCTTCAATTTTCAAAATAACGTAAATATGATCCTCGAGCGTTATTTTTTATCCGAATTATAGGTCATTGCATATATTTCAAGCTTGAAATTAAAACTTTTTATGCCAAAAATATGCCAGTTAGCAAAAACGGCGATGGGTCAGATATGGCTCAAATCCCCCTGCAGTTTCAAAATCTTTAGCATACTCGATCGCCGAATACAGGTTTTAGACCCTACTCGACGGCCGAATACAGGTTTTAGATCCTACTCGACGGCCGAGTACAGGTTTTAGACCCTACTCGACGGCCGAGTATAGTGTTAAGACCTTACTCGACAGCCGAGTACAGGTTTTTAACGATTTTGGACAGGCGAATGCGTGTTTTAAACCCTATTGGAAGGTCGAGTACAGATTATAGATCCGACTAGACGGACGATTACAGGTTTTAGACCCTACTCACCGGCCGAGTACAGGTTTTAGACCATACTCGACGGTCGAGAACAGGTTTTAGACCCTACTCAACTGCCGAAAACTGCAGGTTTTAAATCCTACTCGTCCTTATGAGTACAGGTTTTAGGTCCTACTCGAGTTTTTAAACCCTACTGAGTACAGGTTTTAGGCTTAACTCGACAGCTGAGTACAGACTTTAGACCCTTCACGACAGCAGAGTACAAATTTTAGACCCTACTCGACGGACGAGTACACGTTTAATCCCTACTCGACGGCCGAGTACAGATTTTAGACCCTACTCGACGGTCGAGTACATGTTTTAGACTCTACTGGACGGCCGAGTAAAGGTTTTAGACCATACTGGATTGCTGAGTAATGGTTATAAACCATACTGGATGGAGGAGTACAAGTTTTAGACCCTATTCGATGGCCGCAAACAGGTTTTAGATCATACTGGATGGCCGAGAACAAGTTTTAGACCCTAATGGACTACATAGTACAGGTTTTAGACCCTACTGGATCGCCGACAATAGGTTTTAACCGCTAATGGACGGACGAGTACACAATTTAGACCCTACTGGACGGCCGAGAAAATGTTTTAAACCCTACTGGACTGCCGAGTACAGGTTTAAACCCTACTCAATGGCCGAGTACAGGTTTTAGACCGCACTCGATGCCGAGTATGGGTTTTAAACCCTACTCGACGGGCGAGTACTGGTTTTAGACCCTACTCGATGGCCGAATACAAGTCTTAGACCATACTGGACGGCCGAGTACAGGTTTTAGACCCTATTGAACGGCCGATTACAGGTTTTAAATTCTACTGGACGGCCGAGAACATGTTTTAGACCCTATTGAACGGCGAGTACAGGTTTTACACCCTTCTGGACGGTTGAGTACAAGTTTTTAGTCCCTTCTGGATTGCCGAGAACAGGTTTTAGACCCCTACTAGACGGCCGAGTACAGGTTTTAGACCTTTCTGGAGTGAGTACAGGTTTTACTCCCTACTCGACTGACGAGAGTAGGTTTTAGACCCCTACTTTACGGCCGAGAATAGGTTTTAGCTCCTACTCGACCGGCGAGTAAAGGTTCTAGGCCCTACTCAATGGCCGAGTACAAATCTCAGACCCTTTTCGACGGCCGAGTACAGGTTTTAGACCCTACTTGACGGCCGAGAACAGGTTTTAGACCGTACTCGACGGCCGAGTAAAGGTTTAAAACTCTACTTGACGGCCAAGTACAGGTTTTAGACCTTTCTGGGCGAACGAGTAGAGGTTTTAGACCCTAGTCGACGGCCGAGTACAAGTTATAGATCCTACTGGACGGCCGAGATCAGGTTTTAAATACTACTGGACAACCGAGTATAGGGTTTTAGACCCTATTTTACTACCGATAACAGATTTTTAACCCCCAAATGGACAGACGAGTACAGGTTTTAGACCCTACTGAACTGCCGAGTAAAGGTTTAGACCCCCCTACTGGACGGCCGAGTTCAGGTATTAGACAATACTGAACAGCCGAGTACAGGTTTTAGACTCTTCTGGATGGCCGAGTACAGGTTTTGGATCCTACTTGATGGGCGATTACAGTAGACCCCATTCGGCAGGTGAGTACAGTTTCTAGACCGTACTCGACGGCCGAGTACAGGTTTTTAGACCCCTATTCAACGGCCGAGTACAGGTTTTAGACGTTTATGGAAAGCCGAGTACAGGTTTTAGATCCTATTCGACAGCGAGAAAAGGTTTTAGACCCTACTCGATAGCCGAGTACAAGTTTTAAATCCTTCTGGACCGCAATAAAGGTTTTACTCCCCACTCGATGGCCGAGTATAGGTTTTAGACCCCTACTATACGGCCGAGAATAGGTTTTATACCCCACTCGCCGGCCGAGTAAAGGTTCTAGGCCCTACTCGATGGCCGAGTACAAACCTCAGACCCTTTTCGACGGCCGAATAAAGATTTTAGACCCTACTCGACGGCAGAGTATAGGTTTCAGAACCTTCTGGACGGTCAAGAACAGGTTTTAGACTCTATTCGACGGCCGAGTACAGGTTTTAAACCCTACTCGACGGCTGAGAATAGGTTTTAGACCCTACTCGACGGCCGATTACAGGTTTTAGACTCTACTCAACGGCCGAGTACAAGTTTCAAACCCTATTCAACGGCCGAGTACAGGTTTTTGACCCTACTCGACGGCCGAGTATAGGTTTTAGACCCTTCTGGATGGCAAGTACAGTTTTTAGACCCTATTCGACGGCCAAGTACAGATTTTAGACCCCTACTCGACGGCCGAGTAAAGGTTTTAGATCCTTCTAGACGAATGAGTAGAGATTTTAGATCCTAGTCGACGGCCCGAGTGCAAGTTATAGATCCTACTGGACGGCCGAGATCAGATGTTAGACACTACTGGACTACTGAGAACAGGGTTTAAGACCCTATTCGACGGCCGAGTACAGGTTTTAGACATTTATGGACGGCTGAGTACAGGCTTTAGACCCTATTCGACAGCCGAGAAAAGGTTTCAGACCCTATTCGACAGCCGATGAAAGGTTTTAGTAGGCCCTACTCGACGGCGGAGTACAAGTTTTAGACCCTATTCAACGGCCAAGTACAGGATTTAGACCCTTAAGGATGGGCGAGTACAGGTTTTACACCTTACGTGATGGACAATTACAGGTTTTAGACCCCACTCGACAACTGAGTACAAGTTTTAGACTGTACTCAATGGCTGAGTACAGGTTTTAAACCCTACTCGCCGGCCGAGTATAGGTTTTAGACCCTACTCGATGGCCTAGTACAGATTTTAGACCCTATTCGCCGGCTGAGTACAGGTGTTAGACCCTATAGTTAATGGCTGAGAACAGGCTTTAGACCCTAATCGATGGCCAAGTAAAGATTTTATGCCATACTCGATGGCCGAATACAGATTTTAGACCCTTTCAACAGCCGAGTACAGGTTTTAGATCCTACTCGATTGCCGAGTACAGGTTTTAATCCTTACTCAACGGCTGTGTACAGGTTTTAGACTATTCAATGGCCGAGTACTGGTTTTAGACTATTCGATGGCCGAGTGCAGGATTTAGATCCTACTCAACTGCCTAGTATACGTTTAAGACCCTACTCACAGCCGAGTACAGGTTTTAGACCCTTGCTCGACGGTCGAGTACAGGTTTTAGACCATATTCGACGACCGAGTACAGGTTTTAGACCCTTCTGGGTGACCGAGTACAGGTTTTAGACCATACTGGATGGCCGAGTACAGGTTTTAAACCATACTGGACTGCCTAGTACAGGTTATAGACCTTACTGTACGGAGGAGTACAGGTTTTAGATCCCTTCTCGATGGCCAATTACTGGTTTTAGATCCCACTCGACAGCCGAGTACAGGTTTTAAACCGTATTTGATGGCGAGGTGCAGGTTTTAGATCCTACTCTACAGTTTTACAGAATACAGATTTTAGACCATAATGGACAGCCAAGAACAGGTTTTAGAGCCTATTGGATGGCTGAGTACAGGTTGTAGACCCTACTGGACGGCCAAGTACAGGATTTATACCCTACTGGATGGCCAAGTACACGTTTTAGACCCTACTGGATGACAGAGTACAGGTTCTAGACCCTACTTGACAGCTGGGTACAGGTTTTAGACCCTAGTAGATGGCCAAGTACAAGATTAGGCCTTACTGGATGGCTGAGTACTGGTTTTAGACCTTACTTGATAGCCCAGTACAGGTTTTAGACCCTACTCAACAGCCGAGTACAGGTTTTAGACCCTACTCAATGGCCGAGAACAGGTTTTAGACCTTACTCGATGGCCGATTACAGGTTTTAGACCCCACTGGGACGTGATGGCTGAGTACAGATTTTAGACCTACCGGACCCGACTGGGTGTCGCCTCAGAGCTCAAGTTGATTTTCTTATTGATATATATATATATATATATATATATATATATATATATATATATATACAGTATATATATATATACAGTATATATATATATATATATATATATATATATATATATATATATATATATATATATATATATATATATATATATATCACAATAGGGTGATTTCATTGTGTATTCTATGAGGTGGTGCCCAACTTAATGGTACAATAGAATTCTGAGAGTAAACTACAGATCTCTGCTCCATCACCTGTGGGACAAGTTAATTGGGAAATGTTATGGAAGTTATCAAAGACTTGCCAATCTAATGTAGATAATGGAAAAAGTGCAGAAATATGATATCAAAACAGGATGAAATGCAGGTGTGAAAGTTAAAGACACGTTAGTTCGCCAGTACAGTATTTAACAGACACAAGGACAAGGACATAGACTTAGCAAGAGGGAGGGAGGAAATTATCAGGGGAAAATGCCAAGCCATTAAGACTACTGTATACTGTATAGCACTTGGAAGGGGTAAGGATAAGGATTTGGGATGGGACGGGGGAAGGAATGGTGCACAACCACTTGGACGGTCAGGAATTGAACGCCGACCAGCAATAAAGCGAGACCGTCTCTCTACCATCCAGCCCAAGTGGAAAGGATAAAGGGTTCTAAAAGAAAGCCATGGGTAAAGAAAATATAAGTAATTATCAAAAGCTCTAAGCTTTCATTCAGGATAACAATATGAGAACTGAAAGACACAAGACATGCAATGTCAACGAAATCACATTCACTGAGGATTCTGTTGAGGAACTTACAATGACTTACACCTCAAAGGAACAGTGGAAAAGCAAACTTATGGATCCTGAAAACGAGTAAGACAATTAACCAAGAGGAAATATCAACAGTAAAAATCACTTAAAAGGAGTAATGGCACAAGTAAAAAGATCTAAAACAAAAAGTTTAAAATTATTAAGACTAGAAGATTTTAGGGAAATGAGAACAGACAGTGTACCATTGTAGCTTGTCTACAAATCTTTAAATGGTGTTTAAATTAGGTGTCTACATGTTAGGACCAGAGTGATCGTAGGTAGTCTGTAATCTCTCTTGAATAATAAACATGTGGACACTGAAACACACAGTAACAATCAACAATATATTCTCAATATGTTACAGGATGGTAACAAGTAATTTGTAAGAAGTCAAGACACTTAAGTTGAATGGCTTGCTGTAGGTAATCCTGTGTTGAGTGTTGACACAAGGAGAGAGGAGAGGAGAGGTCTTTCAGCAAAAGACATTGCCAATATAATGGACTTCAACTGGCCAGCAGCCAATTTATGTTGCCGAGGTCCAGATCGGCCAAAGCTGACTGGTAATGTGTTGGTTATTGATTGGCTGTTTGTTCTTGAGTGGCTAATGATGAAAGTGTGTCTGCAAGTCACTGGACTCATATTTCCAGTTGCATCCAACCATGGCCAAAGGTGGCCACATACATTCTGAGGTTCCTGTGACTTTCAAATATATAAGTAACAGTGAAATAGATGTTCATAGGAAAAGAAATGGGAAAAGATGTATCCTTTTGGAATAAAAAAGAAGCATGGTGCTTGGATGTGAATTAAAAGGGACAACATAGAAAACCCAGGAGATTAAAAGCTAAAGTTCAGAAAAAATTGTACAAAAAATTGAATCTTCACCCCACTGGGGGGTGGAGATTCTTATCTTGGGCACATAATGGGTCTGTACCTACTGTATATGGGCTCATGGCTGGGGGATATGCAGATTCCCAGATCCAGACCAAGTTCCTGGGTTTTCTGTATTGGTTCTGCACTATACACACTGAACTTCTGAGCAATTTGTCCTGGGCTCTGGCCCCAAGTTGTGTACCCTGGGCTTTTAGGCATTGTGCCCTGGGTGCCAAAGATGTGTGCCCTTTCTTTCCAGGATCTCGTGGGGTGCTTTCTCAGTGGTCTCTGGGCATCCAGATTCTGCACTTACAGTTCTGGGACTGGTTGATGCTATAGACATCAAGTGCTCTTCTTCCAAGCTGTATGCTGCATCCATTGGAGCTTTGTTTCTAGTGATATTTTTATTAAGCTTGTGTGCTGTAACCTATTAGGCTATCCATTCTCAATCTTTTTAGCTTTGCTGAGCAAACCAGATTCTGGTCCTGGGCTGGGATTTATCAAGCATTTACACATTCACTTAAGAAACTTCTACATCTTTCCTCAATCATGGCAGCTTATAATCTTCTCTTGTGAAGTTTCAAAGCTCAGATTTCTGAATAAATGTAAACAAAGTGTCATTATTGAGGAGAGAGAGAGAGGTTTTTTAAGTGGATGTATAAATGCTTAGTCCTAGACCCGTTCCTGGTAGGTCTGCACAAGCCTTGCAGGTATGATACAACCTTGAGGCTTAGCAGTACCAACACTAATACTCTAGGAAGCTACTGAGGAACCTAGTAGGCACATACAAGTGCTGTCAGGAAAAACAACAGAGTAGCCTACACCGTCTGCAGACTTAGACCCATCAGTGAAGATGGAAATGGAGCGGGAGTGTGAAGAAAAGTGCTCAAGGAAAAGGCAT